ACCCTCCGGTCTCCCTCCCAGATGACGACCAACCCCCAGGATGGCAGAAGCGCACCAAGCCGTGGCCTTCCAGTTCACGGTGACCCCAGAAGGGGTCGACTTCCGGCTCAGTCGGGAAGCCCTGAAACACATCTACCTGTCCGGGATCAACTCCTGGAAGAAACGCCTGATCCGCATCAAGGTGCGCGCAGGTCGTTCTCCTGCCGGTCCCACCAGCAGGTGCAGAGCAGAGCCCGCAGAGGCAGCAGTCACCCGTTGGTTCGGGTCCCTCACTACACCTTGGCTGGTGGCTCTGCGGGGCACAGGCTCCAGCAGCGCAGACATCAGAGAGGGGCTCAAGGTGTGGCTGGACGCAGTGAACTGCAGGTGTGAGTGTGTGGAGGTGGAGCAAGGAGAGCACAGCGGCAGCCAGGGCAGAAAGCCTTCCAGGCAAAGACAGGAGCTCTCTCCCAGGACTTCACAGGTGTCGACTAACCTCACAACTTCGTGCTCTGTAAGGTATCTGTCTCTGCCCCCACAGAATGGCATCCTTAGGGGTGTGTACCCTGGCAGCCCCACCAGCTGGCTGGTCGTCGTCATGGCAACAGTGGGTTCTTCCTACTGCAACGTGGACGTCTCCTTGGGGCTGGTCGGTTGCATCCAGAGATGCCTCCCTCAAGGGTAAGAGGCAAGGCGGGAAGGGAACAGGTGTCACCAGGGAGGGCTGAGTATAGCTCTCAAGACCGAGGTTCCTGAGCTGGACAGATGCAACAGCCATCGGCAGTCACAGGGGCAGCCCTCTCTGGGGACCATTGTCATCTCTCCCATGTCAGCTGGTAGTCACACTCAGATATAAGTGTGCCCAGGGAGGCTCTTGCCCTCAGTGCCTCCCCCAAGATAGTTCACAGGTCATCCAGGGCTAGCCTTGAGAGAACCCCCTGCCGCCCTCCCCTCTTGTCCAATAGGTGTGGTCCCTACCAGACCCCACAGACCAGGGCACTTCTCAGCATGGCCATCTTCTCCACTGGGATCTGGGTGACAGGCATCTTCTTCTTCCGCCAAACCTTGAAGCTGCTTCTTTCCTACCACGGGTGGATGTTTGAGATGCACGGCAAGACCAGCCACTTCACCAAGATCTGGGCTGTGAGCAGAAGCCAGCAGAGGGGTTCGGGCATCTGGTTTGAGGCCTCATGGGCTCCCTGGGGTTCTAAGCTGCAGGGGAGAGGCAGATGGGGCACTGGTGCCTGGCATGTGGGCTGAGAAGGTCTCAAGTGTCTTCTGGTTTCTTTCCACCATTTCTGTTGGCTCCTGCCCCACCACTCTGCTCTGCACCCCTAGGTCTGTGTCCGCCTTCTGTCCAGCCGGCGGCCCATGCTCTACAGCTTCCAGACGTCTCTGCCTAAGCTGCCCGTGCCTGGCGTGACCACCACAATTCGGCGGGTGAGGCATGCCTGTGAACCCAGAGGACTTGTCAACACCTAAGGGGCTCTTCTGTACAAAAAGTGGGCTTGAGAATAATGGGCCTGAATGAGAGGGAGAGGTGGGAAGAGAATTAAGACAAGGCGGCCATTGCTGTCTGGCCCCCGTGGTGACAATAACTTGGCCGAACAGTACCTAGAATCTGTGCGCCCCTTGTTGGACGATGAGGAATACTACCGCATGGAGACACTGGCCAAAGAATTCCAGGACAAGACTGCCCCCAGGCTGCAGAAATACCTAGTACTCAAGTCGTGGTGGGCCACCAACTATGTAAGTTTGCCCTCCTGGGCTTATTCTTGTCCATGGTGTTGTCCCGGATGCCCCCCCCAGCTCTGACCTCCCACTCACCCGCAGGTGAGCGACTGGTGGGAAGAGTACATCTACCTTCGAGGCAGGAGCCCCCTCATGGTGAACAGCAACTATTATGTCATGGTAAGAACCAAAGGCCCCCAGGCTCCCGTGTGTGCTTAGCTCTGCTCAAAGCAAAGGTCTTGGAGGACAGCCCAGGGCCCTGGCAGCAGTTTCCATGGGCAAGTGGGGCTTATAGACTGAGGCCTGCGGGAGAGAGAAGACAGTGAGTAGATCCTGGAAGAGCCCAGCTGCAGCTTAGGGACTACAGGGCGCCTGAGATGAGAACCAGGACCCCACAGCCTGTCCCTGCCTCTCTCAGAGTCTCTCAGGCTTGCTACCCCAGGCAGCTCAGGCTCTGTCACCCCTCCTTGGTTTCCTCATTGGCCTCACACTACAGGCTCCTAGCTGTCCTGATACCGTAACCAGGGAACTTTCTAAAATGCCTTGTTTTGTGTAGTGTCAGATCACAGGATGAAGGCCGGGCTGCAGGAGGTTGCTGTCTGCCCCTGCCTCATGTACCCAGCCCTTCTTGTGGCTCTCGGAGTCTCTCTCCCACCCAGCTACTCAGTTTCAGGGCATGCCTCTCATAGCCCACTGTCCAAAGCTCACTTAGCCCTGCAAAGCCTGCTGGACTTCTCCACAGGCTGTCCTTCCAGGAACTTATACACAGCTTGCGCGCACGAGAGGTTTTAAGCTGCTCTTTAGGGTAGAACTCCTTTCTCAAAGCAAAATCAGTAAAATATGAACAAATAAAACAGGTTATTTTTAAAAAGTCAGAGCAGAAGATTCACATAATCAGTTTTGCATTTCTGGAAGTTCCTCCTGACAGTGTGTGCAGGCTGCATTGCAGGAAGGAGATCAGACACCTCGGTCCCTGGGCATCCCAGACAGAGGTGCCCACGCTGCACTCCGCTCTCTTGGCAGGACCTTGTGCTCGTCAAGAACACTGAGGTACAGGCAGCCCGCCTAGGAAATGTCGTCCATGCCATGATCATGTATCGCCGTAAACTAGACCGTGAAGAGATCAAGCCCGTGAGTCACATCAGGGCTGAGGGCGGGACAGGGGAGGAGACCTGAGCCTGAGCCATACCGGGCCTTCTTCGCAGGTGATGGCACTGGGCATCGTACCTATGTGCTCCTATCAGATGGAGAGGATGTTCAACACCACTCGAATCCCAGGGAAGGAGACAGGTACCAGGTCCCAGCCAGGCCCTCTCCCAGCTGTGGGCCCACGTGGCTGGGTGCCCTGCTGCCTGCTTACCACCAAGCATCCCCAGCATCTCAGGACCAATTCGTGACAGATACTGGACGTCTGCTATTTGCAGGCGTGATGCTGGTGCTGGGACTTTCAGGGCCCAGAACAGAACTCTCCCCTCCAGGGCTCACTGCACATGGGGAAGAGAGTGGCAGGAGGTGTACTGCCTGGCAGATGCCCTCCTGGAGCCTGCAAAAGAGGAGGGGAGGGGCTCACGCGGGGTCTGCTCCTGACACTGTGTCTTCAGGCACTTCGCACAACTTCTGAGTGCCTCAGTTTCGTCATCTGCGAAATACTTCATAGGATTGTGGCTGATGTTATGTGGGAGGTAGCAGAAGCACCCAGCACAGGGCCTGGCTTAGCACCCCAGGATCCCGCCCCAGGGGCAGGAAGACCCAGGGCAGAGGCCAGGTCAAGCAGGGACTGCAGGGGCCACCTCGTGCAGGGGAGGTGGGACCTTTCCAGGGCGCAGCTGGAGCACAAGGTGCTCCCCGTGCCCTGCCTCATCTTGCCCATGGCCTCTGTCACAGACACGCTGCAGCACCTCTCGGACAGCAGGCATGTGGTCGTCTACCACAAGGGACGCTTCTTCAAGGTGTGGCTCTATGAGGGCTCGCGTCTGCTCCAGCCCCGGGACCTGGAGATGCAGTTCCAGAGGATCCTGGATGACCCCTCCCCTCCGCAGCCTGGGGAGGAGAGGCTGGCAGCCCTCACTGCGGGGGGCAGGTAGCAGCCTTTGGGGAGGGGCTGTCCTGGCCAGTTCGAGGTTTCACGAGGGAGGAGCTGGGCCCTGCCAGCCAACCTGGAACTGGGGGCTGGAGGCACACTTGAGGGAGGTGTGTATAGGACCTGCAGGAAGGGGCACTGGTGGTTATGACAGGTGGACAGCAGGCGTACCCCACTGCTAACGGGTGTGGCTACGTGGGAGTCTGTAGGGCAGGACCCTCTGGGACAGCCTGGTGCCGCCCCTCCCCTCCCCTGTCTCAGGCCCAGCCAGGTCCTGCCTGGGAGGTGCCCTTACCCCTTCCGTAGCACCCACTGCTGACCCTGCACTGTGCGGCAGGGTGGAGTGGGCGCAAGCACGCCAGGCCTTCTTCAGCTCTGGCAAGAACAAGGCCGCCCTGGAGGCCATCGAGCGTGCTGCCTTCCTCGTGGCCCTGGACGAGGAGTCCCACTCCTATGACCCCGAGGACGAGGCCAGCCTTAGCCTCTATGGCAAGGCCCTGCTCCATGGCAACTGCTACAACAGGTACAGCACCTCTTGCTTCACAGGTGACAATAGGGGTGAGAGGTTAGAGGTTAAAGTTAGAAGTCACCATGAGGGGCCGGGCTCAGTGGCTCAGCCTGCCATCCTAGCACTTTGGGAGGCCAAGGCAAGAGGATTGCCTGAGCCCGCGGGTTTGAGACCAGCCCAGACAACTTGGCAAGATCTCTTCTCTATGATAAATTTTTTTTTGAGTTGGAATCTCACTCTGTCACCCAGACTGGAGTGCAGTGGCCGCTCCCAGCCACCACAGCCTCGACCTGCTGGGCTCCGGCGATCCTTCCGCCTCAGCCTTCCAATTAGCTGGAATTACAGGCATGCATTACCACACCCGGCTGATTTTTTATTTATTGTAGATATGAGGTCTCGCCGCCCAGGCGGGTCTCAAACCTGCAGGCTCAGACAATCCACTCACCACAGCCTCCCAAAGGCGCGGGATTACAGGCTGAGCCACCAAGCCCGGCTTATGATAAATTTTTTAAAATTAGCCGGGCATGGGAGCACATGCCTATAGTTCTGGCTACTTGGAAGGCTGAGGTGGAAGGATCGCCAGAGCCCAGCGGGTTAACGCTGGGGTGGCCATGAATGTGCCACTGCACTCCAGCCTGGGCGATGGAGTGAGATTCCAAATAAAAAAAAAAGAGGTTACCATGAGGGTGAGCAGGTTACAGATAGAAGTTAGGGCTGTGATTCATGGTTAGATAGGGCTAGAAGTTAGACTAGAAGTTGGAGGTTTGGGTTGGAGATTAGGGTTTGGGATAGAGATTATGATTAGAGTAAGAGTTTAAGGTTAGGGCTAGGGTTAGAGGTGCAGAGAGGGCTAGGATTAAAGCCTGGGAATAGGATCAGGCTTGTCGATTGGGTCCGGTGGAGATGCCCAGTCTTGGTTTGTAGCTGTGGCTGCTCTTCCTGCAGGTGGTTCGACAAGTCCTTCACTCTCATTTCCTTCAAGAATGGTCAGCTGGGTCTCAACGCAGAACACGCGTGGGCAGACGCGCCCATCATCGGGCACCTGTGGGAGGTAGCAGCCCTGGAGAGGAAACCTGCAGGGCAAACTCTATCAGTGAGGCTGGTCTCTCAGTCTCATCTCTTTTTGCAGTTTGTCCTGGGCACCGACAGCTTCCACCTGGGCTACACAGAGACTGGGCACTGCATGGGCAAACCAAACCCTGCGCTGGCACCCCCCCTGCGACTACAGTGGGACATTTCAAAACAGGTGGGTCAGGACCTCCAGAGCAGGTATGCAGGCCAGGAAGGAGCAGGGTGGGCACAGTGGTGACAAACACCTATGTCATCTCTTCTTCTCCTTGTCCCGCCACCCGACCCCACCCTGGGGAAAGCCAGGAACTTCTCAGGATATCAGCAAGGGTCCATACTGGTCCCAGGGAGAACAGGGACTCCTCTGGGGCCATGTGTGGCTACAGGAAGGTATGAGATGTGAGGTTTATGTCCAGGGAGCACCTGCTAGCACCTCCCTCTTCACCACAAAGCTCAGCCCAGCCTGTGGTGGCTGAACCCCACGGGTTGTCCTTTATGTCCCCTCCTCCTGAGAGTAGGGCCAGCATCACCCTTCATCCATCAGCAAAACCTCATGCCACCCAGGCATGACCCAGAGTCTGCCTGGAGAGCCCTGCCCCCAGCTGACCCTGTCCCTGTCTTGGCAGTGCCAGGCGGTCATCGAGAGCTCCTACCAGGTGGCTAAGGCTCTGGCAGACGACGTGGAGTTGTACTGCTTCCAGTTCCTGCCCTTTGGCAAAGGCCTCATCAAGAAGTGCCGAACCAGCCCGGACGCCTTTGTGCAGATCGCACTGCAGCTGGCTCACTTCCGGGTAGGGGCCCCTGGGGCTGCGGAGTGGGCTGCACAGCACCAGGGTCCACCTGCCAGACTTATCCCTCTGTTTATCCCAGGACAGGGGTAAGTTCTGCCTGACCTATGAGGCCTCCATGACCAGAATGTTCCGGGAAGGGCGGACTGAGACCGTGCGTTCCTGTACCAACGAGTCCACAGCCTTTGTGCAGGCCATGATGGAGCAGTCCCACATGGTGAGTCCCCTACCCCAGTCCCTCACCCCTCTCTGGCCCACACAGGGCTCAGGGTTGACTGGTGAGGTGCAGCACCCGACTGCCTGGAGGGTCAGGGCCACTCTTCACCCCTCTGCTTCTGCTCTCCAGAAAGCAGACCTCCAAGATCTCTTCCGGAAAGCTTCTGAGAAGCACCAGAACATGTACCGCCTGGCAATGACAGGGGCAGGGATCGACAGGCACCTCTTCTGCCTCTACGTGGTTTCCAAGTACCTGGGGGTCAGCTCCCCCTTCCTGGCTGAGGTCAGTGTTGTTGACGGGCACGTCCTCTGTGCCTCTGCCCTCCTAGGCCCAGAGGCTCAGCCACCTTGTGATGGGGTCGGCTCATTTTCTGTCTGGGGCTCCCTGACTTTGCCCCGGAGGCCCAGGCCAGCCTTCCCACCCACTCCCGGCCCAGGCCTGCTGTCCTAGGACCGAGCAGGAACAGGATCCTCCCTGTAGAGTTGCCATTCTTGTGAGGGGAGGCAAATAGACAAGCATGGGGCCTGTTGGGTGGTGACGGCACTAGTGAGAGAAGTAAAAGAGGTGGCGATGGGGTGAGATAGAGGGAGGGCTGGGCAAGTCACACAGGCCTGCGGGGCAAGATGCTCTCGTGTCCACTCCTGCTCCCCCCTGCACAGGATGGCGCCTGACTCTGAGTAGGTGCCAGACACCCCCAGCTGGACGCGTGCTCCAAGTGCGGGGCATCCGACCAGCCGTGGCTTCTCGTCACAGGTCCTCTCCGAGCCCTGGCGCCTTTCCACCAGCCAGATTCCTCAGTCTCAAATCCGCATGTTCGACCCAGCCCAGCACCCTGACCACCTGGGCGCTGGAGGTGGCTTTGGCCCTGTGAGTGCCCTGAAGGGGGTGGCAGGCAGGAAAGTGCTAGGCCCGAGGCGGGAACACTTTGCTTAAAGGAGAGCATAACCCGCACCTGCTTGGAAGCAGAGTAGCAGCCATGGCCCCAGGCTCCATTTCCAATCCTGCCTGCTGGGGCGTGACCGTGCCCAGGCTAGGGACTGGGCAGCACGCTGGGTGCTTCTGAAACTTGCTTCCCTGAGAGAATCCAGCTCTCTCCCACCACCACCTTCACAGGGACTAGTGTGTCAGAAGGTCAGAGACCCCCTTGGAAAGGGAGGGAGTGATCTAGAGCGTGAGCCCTCAAGGGAAATGGGGAGGCCCTAGATCCCGGGGTGGGGCCCAGAACTGTAGGGGGCAGCAATCATGGTTTTTCCCCTGCTTCCTGGGGGTGGTGCTTAGAACAAATACAGTGTCTCGAGGCGGGGCCCCTTCCTGCCAATCTTGTGGGAAGGGCAAGTACAATACCAGCTTGCCTTTAGATCTTCAAGGTCTGGTTTGTGTTTTCTCCTTCACTGCTTGTGTTGCCCTTAGGTGGCAGATGATGGCTATGGGGTTTCCTACATGATTGCGGGCGAGAACATGATCTTCTTCCATGTCTCCAGCAAATTCTCAAGCTCAGAGACAGTGAGTCTCCTGCCCCAGCTCAGGCCTGAGGAAGGGTTGCCACACAGGCTGCCCAGGACCGCAGGGACCTCTGGCTATGGAAGCATGTTTGTTTGTGGGGACAGAGGGGTGAGTGTGTGCCTGAAGGTGCATCTGAGCTCTTGGCCCCTGCAGAATGCCCAGCGCTTTGGGAACCACATCCGCCAAGCCCTGCTGGACATCGCCGATCTCTTCCACATTCCCAAGGCTGACAACTGAGGGCTGGAGAAATGCCAGCTGCCCTTTCGTCCCCGTGTTGCGGCGGAAGGGGCCTTGGCCAGCTCGCAGGCATGAGAGGTGGCCACGCACGGGTGCCCGGGCCCCAAGGACAGCTCTGGCAGCAGGCCCTCCCCAGGCCGATCCTGCTCCCCGAGGTCCCAGGTGGTACAGGTGGGGCTGGAGCCAGGAGGGAATTCTGGCTTTTTTTCTTGGCAGATACCAATAAAAGTAAGGCTGCATAATTCTCTTAGCCCTTACGTACCTGTATTTTGTTCAGGGGCTGGGAGGCCCTCCCCCTGCCCCAGCTCAGTCCAGAGAGGTGTCAGGGAAGGGCTGGGGCTGGGAGACTGTTCATGAAAGAGTGTGCCCTGCCTTGAAATGTGTCTCTGCCGAGTGGCACAGGTTCTGAGACAGCTGTCCACACCCACGTGTGAGCTTGAATTAAATTCTTGCTTCAGAGCCTTCACTGTTCCTTGAGGCCACTTTTGCTCCTCTGCCAGAGAGCAGGGCCCCCTGCCCCCTCCACGCACAGGCATGGCCTGTGCACACCTCAGGGCTGGAGCACAACCCTAAAGAGGCCCCCGGCTTCGCCCCCCCACAGAAGGGGCTGCCTTCCTGGGCCTGGGGTGGTTTGCCAGGGGGTCATGTCTCTGAGGGGCATACAGGATGACCTGGAGCAACATATGCTCCCTCACTCAGGTCAGCCTTTCTACTAGTAATATTAAGAGTAAATAAAAAATAATTTTTATGAAGCGTGTAAGTAGGAGATTACTGTTTCTGCATGCTTGGATGAATCTAGATTTCAGCACTGCTGGGTGCTCAGGACTCAGAAGTGAATTAGATTCGATTTCGGGTCTTCATGTAATTAACCTTAGCTTTTTAATTCTGTTAACGTTTTTTTAAAAAACTTTTGTAATAACACTTAGCTTAAAACACAAATCCATTGTGTAGCTGTACAAAAATATTTTTCTTATTCTTATTCTACAAGTCCTTTTACTTAAACTTTTTTTTAACTTTTTAAACATTTTGTTAAAAACTAAGACACAAACATACACGTTAGCTTAGGCCTACAGGGTCAGGAGCATCAATATCACTGTCTTCCTCCTTCCTATCTTGTCTCACTGGAAGGTCTTTAGGGGCAGTAACATGCTTGGAGTCAGCGTCTCCTCTGATAACAATGTATTCTTCTGTAAAGCCTCCAGAAAGACCTTCCTGAGGCATTTCACAGTTAACTTTGCTTTATTTTATTTTTATTTCTTTCTTTTTTTTTTTTTTTGAGTCAGAGTTTCACTCTGTCACCCAGGCTGGAGTGCAGGGACAGGCACGCACATGGCTACTGCAACCTCGACCCGCTGGGCTCAGCCGATCCCTCCACCTCAGCCTTCCAAGTAGCTGGAACTACAGATACACACCTCCATGCCCAGCTAGCTTTTGTGACTTACTGTAGAGATGAGGTCTCGCCAAGTTGCCCAGGCTGGTTTTGAACCCCCAGGCTCAGGCAATCCCCTCGCTCAGCAGCCCACAGTGCTGGGATTGCAGGCTGCGCCACCACGCCCAGCCCTTACTTTGTTTTAATAAGCAGAAGGAGGAAACTCTGAAATGACCATGGAAAGTCTAGTATGGTAAATGCATAAACCCAATCAGCCGTTTTTCTTTTTTTGTTTGTTTGTTTTTCATTTTTTTTTTTTTTTTTGAGTCGGAGTCTCACTCTGTAGCCCAGACTGGAGTGCAG